TTTTTTTACTTTTTAATAATTATATATATGTATATATGTGTGTAAAACTACCAAAATACAAATAATAATAATAATAATAAATATATAAATTAATAATCATTAATTTTTATTGGTGCATTCTAAAATGGTGAGATCTAAACATTCTAATTTTCACTTTTTCTTATACAAATTTTCCTCTATCTAGCGTCTTATAACTTGAGTTGCAAGTACCAAAATATAATGAAATTAAAAAATCTAGCTAATTTGCTTTAACAATCGATTCCACAGATAAACCATAATGGATTGATGAGAAACAAAGCAATGCCATGCCATGCCACTCTTGCAATTAATTTTTTGGACACTCTTTTCAACTTTTACGATAACATAACAAATTGACAAATTGATAAGGCGACCTTATGCATCTAACTTTATAGGTTAGATCATTACAAATCATATTAAATGGTGCATCCATTGACTTTTAGTTTGACTTTGAAACCATTCTTCCTAAAAGATTATAGCTTTTTCAGAAAAAAAAAATAATAACATAACCTTATAATAATTTTATTAATTCTTTTCACCCATTGATAATGAATTGACATTTGTTGATAATGATTATATAAATTAACAAGATATATAAAAAGATTTATTTTGATTTATTTAATAATATATAATTGTTATAAACAAATATTTTCATTAAGGCATTTTTATTAATTAGCAAACTTTTAATAAACGAAACATATTACGAACTGTCCCATACATTACAAAACAAAATATAAAACAATCCCACACATTTACCTTCCAGCTATATGACAGGCCATAGAATTATTTAAATGGAGTTCTAGGAATCAATACTCCTTCACAGAATAACAGGATCCACCAGCAACAATTCAATATGGGCCTTCAAACTGTGAGAGTTTGTATAGTTGTCACCGTCCTTATATAGGAAATCTATCACACGAACAAAATTTAGAACCACAGTGAGTATAGGCATAGGAAAGATTGCTGGCTTCATGAATCCTTCATTAATATCTTTCCAAGCATTTGCAACATCTTCCCGAAACAACTTCACGGTCTCTTCCCTTGAAACACCATATTGCTTCATATAGCATTCAACACTTGATGCCACATGATCTCGTGTTTGCTCAAACTGCATTGGGTTGGAAAAAAAATTAGTTGTTAACTCCCGTGAGTATTTAAACAAGTACCAAAACTAACTAACCCCATAATTTAAATTTGTAATTAATAAGAACCAAGCACTGTGCATACCTCATGTGAGGAAATATCATCCATACCTCATGTGAGGAAATATCATCCATGAGTCTACAGATAGTTGTGGAAGCTTTAAGTATTTTAGGGTTATTAGAGATCCAATGAAAGGCCTCCTTGGTTGCAACTTCTCCCATGCCAACATAGGAATTTGTTATGAGCATTGGATAACCAGAGGAAATGAGGGCAACCTGCATATACTCCTCTATAAGTGGAACATAGTCCTCTTGGCGCCACTTGGCTTCATCAAGGTAAGCTTTCATTATTTTTTTCATCTATTCATAAAATTAAGTTATGCACATGAAAATAACATATAATCCAAAATCCCCAAAACATGAATTAAATCATTAATATGCTAATTAGTTACTTACCGACTCTTTTGCATAATCTATAGCATATGATCTTCCTTCTTTTGCAACCTTTGCCTCCATCTCACTATAGACATTTAACAATGCCTGATAAACCAATTTCATATACTCTGGAAGTTGATCTATAACATCAATGTTCCACCTAAAGATTATAGAATCAAAGTTATGA